CATAGGGTGTGTGCGCTCACCAGACAGACAGAGAGAGACAGAGAGATAGAAAGCGAGAAATCACCCCCTAGGGGGGGTATGGCCACACTGCAATCCCTTCTCCTCTCGGGATCTTGGGCACGTACGTACATGTGCCCAGCATGAGTTTTAATCCACCGGGTCCAGGATGCAAAAAAAAATCAGATGACCTGGCAATACTGAGTCTGACTTTTTTTTGGAGAGGTTTTTGCCATAGGGTGTGTGCGCTCACCAGACAGACAGAGAGAGACAGAGAGATAGAAAGCGAGAAATCACCCCCTAGGGGGGTATGGCCACACTGCAATCCCTTCTCCTCTCGGGATCTTGGGCACGTACGTACATGTGCCCAGCATGAGTTTTAATCCACCGGGTCCAGGATGCAAACCGCGGTTGACTATGTGGGAGTCCAGCGACATAGCCATTATGCTAACTGCTGGTCCCCTGAGTCTGACTTTTTATCTGGCAACAACAGCCCAGAGCTTAAGAAATTCAGCACCATTTCCCTGGAGTGTGTGCTCTTTAATTTTCCAATCTCCACTATTCCCTAATGTCCCTGACCTGCCTCATTCACCATAATCCTTCCCAAATCCCATAAAGTATTTCACCTTATGACTATTTAGTAGGTTTACTCAGTGAAAGAGGATGAGTCTTAGAGACATAGCTTCCAGGGTGGGCACTCTACATCATGTGGAATCTGCTTTGCCTAAGAGACTAAATTAGTAATCCCTCACATCCAAAAAGATCAGAGACTGAGGAATGCTCTCATTCATGGCCATTTTATTGGTGCATTATGAGGTCGCATTTCCTTCACATTAATAGAGCATGAAATTAAAACATACGGATCCACAAAATCACCTGCCTTTTGTGAACTGGTTTGCGCTGTTAATTACGGCTCCTAAGGATTCTGCCAAAGGCTCCATGTTATTACGTCCTTTTTTATTTTAATTACATTTTAATCAAAGCTTTTACTTAGTCTATCTTAGGACTTTCAATGTAATTATTGCTTTGCAGAGTTCTTCCTGGTCATTTATGTTTAAATAGAAGTACTTATATTTACATTTTATGGTCCAGAATTTTAAGTTACCATTAACTGAAATATAACTCTCTCACTCTTCTCCTGATTACTATTGCAGGATATGGGTAAAACTAGAATCAATGAAGTGTACAGGCTTCCAAGTGGGTTGTGAGTCTAACTGCTCTAATTTAAAAATATCAGTGGTTTGACTTTGGATGGAAGTCAACTCAAGTCCTCCTGTTTCTTTCCTCACGCATGGGATGATCACATGGCCATGTGCCAAAACAGGCTTGGAAGGAGCACAGTTGGAGAGGGATGCACTGAGGCTCAGAACAAGGTCTTTACAAGGTGGAATACACCCTCCAGGGGTAAGTCCATGGTAGAGATGGCTGATCTAGGACATCCTGATGGTTCTAAACGGTACACCCAGCCCAGAGCTGCTCAGCTGACAATTTATATCACTATTTGAGTCTTCCAAAATGTAGTCTGTTACACTAAATGCTCTAAAGTGACACTCCTTGGATGTCAAGATGGATCACTTCCCAGCATCCAGGTCCAGGAATAAGGGGAACCACATGGTACAGCTGACCGAAACCGAATGACACGTGTTGCTTTTTTTTTTTTTTTGGAGAGATTTTTCACTATAGGGCGCGTGCGCTTGCCAGCCAGCCAGAGAGAGACAGAGAGATAGAAAGCGAGAAATCACCCCCCCAGGGGGGATGGTCACGCCGCAATCCCTTCTCCTCCATTCTCCTCTCGGGATCTTGGGCACGCACGCACATGCGCCCAGCATGAGTTTTAAGCCACCCGGTCTGGGACGCGAACCGCAGTCGACTACGTGGGAGTCCAGTGACATAGCCATTATGCTAACTGCTGGTTCCCACGTGTTGCTTTGAAAAGAACAGCTGATCAAGGAGCAGTGCACTCTATTCTTAGACAGAAAATGGTGTACTGACTGGCTACATTCAACAGTTCAAGGAGATGGGCTAAAGACACATTGGATTCCCAGCTCTGCTCTTGTACCTCCTACCAGAGCCCTGTCATGCTAAAACACTTCCTGCTACACAGGAATGGGAACATGCTGCCACTTAAAGGACTCTGAAAGTAAAGCTCTGCAAGACTTAGATCCTAAAGGAGAAACACTCTTACCCTGAAGCTGCTTCTTACTTCCATTGGTCATGCAGCCATTCCCTTGAGCTGGGCTCAAAGCACTAGTTTGCTGTTCTGTGAGACTAGTCATACCACTTCCTGAAGAGGCACCAATTAAAGCCCTCCTTCCTTCCTGTAAGAGGCTAAGCTACAGAACTGGCTAACAAACATCAAGGGGAAAGTTGAAAGAAGGGTATTGTACCTACAAGCTCTCAGACAACTGTAGCAACCTCCTCGCCCACTCACGCACTCATGCATCTTCATTTTCATTGTATTTGGAAGGTCTCTGCATGAAGTCACTCATCTCATTTGCTTCTAAATTCGGTGATTCAAAAAGCTCTGGAAATGAGGAACCAGCAGTTAGCGTAATGGCTACGTTGCTGGACTCCCATGTAGTTGACTGCGGTTCGAGTCTTGGACCCAGTGGCTTAAAACGCACGCTGGGCACGTGTGCGTGCATGCCCAGGATCCTGAAAGGAGAATGGAGGAGAAGGGATTGCAGCGTGGCCATCCCCCCTGGGGGATGATTTTTTGTTTTCTGTCTCTCTCTCTCTCTCTCTCTCTCTCTCTCTCTCTCTCTCTCTCTCTCTCTCTCTCTCTCTCTCTCTCTCTCTCTCTCTCTCTCTCTCTCTCTCTCTCTCTCTCTCTCTCTCTCTCTCTCTCTCTCTCTCTCTCTCTCTCTCTCTCTCTCTCTCTCTCTCTCTCTCTCTCTCTCTCTCTCTCTCTCTCTCTCTCTCTCTCTCTCTCTCTCTCTCTCTCTCTCTCTCTCTCTCTCTCTCTCTCTCTCTCTCTCTCTCTCTCTCTCTCTCTCTCTCTCTCTCTCTCTCTCTCTCTCTCTCTCTCTCTCTCTCTCTCTCTCTCTCTCTCTCTCTCTCTCTCTCTCTCTCTCTCTCTCTCTCTCTCTCTCTCTCTCTCTCTCTCTCTCTCTCTCTCTCTCTCTCTCTCTCTCTCTCTCTCTCTCTCTCTCTCTCTCTCTCTCTCTCTCTCTCTCTCTCTCTCTCTCTCTCTCTCTCTCTCTCTCTCTCTCTCTCTCTCTCTCTCTCTCTCTCTCTCTCTCTCTCTCTCTCTCTCTCTCTCTCTCTCTCTCTCTCTCTCTCTCTCTCTCTCTCTCTCTCTCTCTCTCTCTCTCTCTCTCTCTCTCTCTCTCTCTCTCTCTCTCTCTCTCTCTCTCTCTCTCTCTCTCTCTCTCTCTCTCTCTCTCTCTCTCTCTCTCTCTCTCTCTCTCTCTCTCTCTCTCTCTCTCTCTCTCTCTCTCTCTCTCTCTCTCTCTCTCTCTCTCTCTCTCTCTCTCTCTCTCTCTCTCTCTCTCTCTCTCTCTCTCTCTCTCTCTCTCTCTCTCTCTCTCTCTCTCTCTCTCTCTCTCTCTCTCTCTCTCTCTCTCTCTCTCTCTCTCTCTCTCTCTCTCTCTCTCTCTCTCTCTCTCTCTCTCTCTCTCTCTCTCTCTCTCTCTCTCTCTCTCTCTCTCTCTCTCTCTCTCTCTCTCTCTCTCTCTCTCTCTCTCTCTCTCTCTCTCTCTCTCTCTCTCTCTCTCTCTCTCTCTCTCTCTCTCTCTCTCTCTCTCTCTCTCTCTCTCTCTCTCTCTCTCTCTCTCTCTCTCTCTCTCTCTCTCTCTCTCTCTCTCTCTCTCTCTCTCTCTCTCTCTCTCTCTCTCTCTCTCTCTCTCTCTCTCTCTCTCTCTCTCTCTCTCTCTCTCTCTCTCTCTCTCTCTCTCTCTCTCTCTCTCTCTCTCTCTCTCTCTCTCTCTCTCTCTCTCTCTCTCTCTCTCTCTCTCTCTCTCTCTCTCTCTCTCTCTCTCTCTCTCTCTCTCTCTCTCTCTCTCTCTCTCTCTCTCTCTCTCTCTCTCTCTCTCTCTCTCTCTCTCTCTCTCTCTCTCTCTCTCTCTCTCTCTCTCTCTCTCTCTCTCTCTCTCTCTCTCTCTCTCTCTCTCTCTCTCTCTCTCTCTCTCTCTCTCTCTCTCTCTCTCTCTCTCTCTCTCTCTCTCTCTCTCTCTCTCTCTCTCTCTCTCTCTCTCTCTCTCTCTCTCTCTCTCTCTCTCTCTCTCTCTCTCTCTCTCTCTCTCTCTCTCTCTCTCTCTCTCTCTCTCTCTCTCTCTCTCTCTCTCTCTCTCTCTCTCTCTCTCTCTCTCTCTCTCTCTCTCTCTCTCTCTCTCTCTCTCTCTCTCTCTCTCTCTCTCTCTCTCTCTCTCTCTCTCTCTCTCTCTCTCTCTCTCTCTCTCTCTCTCTCTCTCTCTCTCTCTCTCTCTCTCTCTCTCTCTCTCTCTCTCTCTCTCTCTCTCTCTCTCTCTCTCTCTCTCTCTCTCTCTCTCTCTCTCTCTCTCTCTCTCTCTCTCTCTCTCTCTCTCTCTCTCTCTCTCTCTCTCTCTCTCTCTCTCTCTCTCTCTCTCTCTCTCTCTCTCTCTCTCTCTCTCTCTCTCTCTCTCTCTCTCTCTCTCTCTCTCTCTCTCTCTCTCTCTCTCTCTCTCTCTCTCTCTCTCTCTCTCTCTCTCTCTCTCTCTCTCTCTCTCTCTCTCTCTCTCTCTCTCTCTCTCTCTCTCTCTCTCTCTCTCTCTCTCTCTCTCTCTCTCTCTCTCTCTCTCTCTCTCTCTCTCTCTCTCTCTCTCTCTCTCTCTCTCTCTCTCTCTCTCTCTCTCTCTCTCTCTCTCTCTCTCTCTCTCTCTCTCTCTCTCTCTCTCTCTCTCTCTCTCTCTCTCTCTCTCTCTCTCTCTCTCTCTCTCTCTCTCTCTCTCTCTCTCTCTCTCTCTCTCTGTCTGGCAAACACACGCGCCCTATGGCAAAAACCTCTCCAAAAAAAAAAAAATGATAAGGCTGTAACTCCCAGTTTTAACTCCATTTCAGAGACATATGCTATGAATAATGACAGTTCAGAATGCTTCTGAGCCTTTGCTCCCAAGATCAGCACCTGGAATGATCTATAGATAGAGCTGGCAGTGGACCAGCTGTGAAACCCACTGCATTTCTGAATGACCTTTTCTGCACTGGATGGCCAATACCAAGACTTCCAGGTAGGAGGTTTTATTACATTTTACAACCATGAAAACGTAGGAAGGTGGCTATTATGGCAAACATTTCAGACAGAGGCATCAGCTAAGCTACCCCCACCCCATCTTTGTAGCCTGGTTCCACAGGTCTATCAGAAATTGTTCCTGGTGTCCTTTCCTTGAAAATTCAAGAATGATGAAAGGAAACATTGAAAGTAGCAGGACCACCACCGTGAAATGGAGGCAGAAGGATAACTTTGAGAAACAACTGATGAGAAACACACTACAGAAAACCCTTTCTATTTTTTATGATGTCAAGGTGGAAGGTAGGTCCAAGCATAGCGTCCATCCTCCCAGGTACTAGTCATACAGGGCCTTCGGTGATCCCCTCCAGAGGCAAGGTGGGTGCGCTGTCGGCTGTGGGCCTCTCCTCTTTCTTCAGTGAGGTTGGGACTCGGAGACTGACGTACGGTTTGTGACAAGCTGTGTTGGCCAGAGGAGGGTAGTGCTGTCTGTAGCAAATGTAAGCAAAAATGAGGCCAATCACTCCTCCAACAAAAGAATCTAGGCAGGAAAGAGCAAAAGGGGGGAGATGTGTTATTTAGTTCATTTAAATATGGCCCATTATGTTTTTCCAGAAGCACTTTTCCTACCTGCTGCTGTAACTGGTTTGTTTATAGGGTCCCTGATAAACTAAAGGAAAGAGATACCAAGCTAGAGGTATAAATCCCGGTGGCCTCTGCAAGCTGTCATCATTTCCAGCATTTAAGCATTAAACAAATGAATACTTCAATCTCTCTTTCTTTTATTTCTTGAACTCATACCTGAACATTACATGAACTCAGATTTGTATTCCTGATTTTTAAAACCAATGATAAATTCTGGAAGAAGGAGTCAAGTCATCTCAATAGGAGCTAAACACCCTTGGGGACTGTAAGTTCTTTTTCTTTAGCAAGTTCTCTCTGGAGTCCTATATTATTGCTGGTGTACAACAGAAACTCAGTAGGCATGCTGGTCTCTGCCTCATGGTAAGTGATTTCCCAGGGATGAAATGAACCTTTAAGTCACAGACTAAGTGAATAAAACATTTCATGCTATGTCAGAGTTGGCAAACTCAGCAGAACTTTAGAAGGACAAGTCCAATTTCTCCAAAGAGCTTCATATTTTACCAAGTTGGAGAGGCAAGAGGGCAACAGATGAAGTCAGGGCTTGTCTGCATGTAAGACAGACTCTCTACCATGGGGCAGCCCTTTGTCAAAAAGGGCATTCACCTGTTGCCTAATAAAGACCCCATGAAAACAGCCCACCCCAACAGTCTTAAGTGAGTGTGTCCTTTACATTTTTGTCTATGGATTATCCTTGCTAAAAATATCCTAGCACAGTGGAGAACCCCCCTTAACAGAAGAATTTGGAACTCTTGTTATGGCTGCTGTAATGGTGAACTGCCATTCTCTGTTGCAGGTTCCCACTTTCACATTTATTATCTTGTTGAATCACATACACTTCCTATCGGCAGGTAACATCAGCCCAAATTTCCCCAGAACTGAACTTAAAACCTGGTGTTCTGATCCAACAGCTGTGCTGGACCATGGTGCTATGCTGGAACTGTGGCAGGTTCATTGCAGGCTTAATAACCACATGGCTGCCCCTGAAGTCCCAGCCTTCAGCATATGGCATGCCTATGTGCAGAAGGTTATGTCTGCCTGGGTCAGGTGAGGGGAAGCCATTTTCCTTAATGGTCAGTGGTCAGTGTGTTAAGATTCCCAACATTCCTCAGGGGACAATACCTGGTGTAGAAACTTCAGTTTGAGTCACAAGCTAATTGTCCTCTGTCCCCTGTGGGTGAAATTCCAAGTGGCTAACAAGGAAATGTATCTTTCAAGAAAACAAAGTATGCAATGTTTAGATATGTGCAGCACATTTAGTCTTTCCTTGATCTTGTTTTATAGCACAAGTCCCCAATATTCTTGGAACCAGGGACCAGCTTCATGGAAAAAAACCCTTCATAGGACAGAGTGGGAGGTGGGGGGCAATAGGCCATGAACCAGCACTGGTCTTGAGCCTGGTAAAAGGTAAAGAAGTATAAATAAAAGCCCATGGAGTTCTCATGCTCCTGGCTTACTAGGGCTAGGAGAGGATGGTGGTGTGGGAAACCCTGTTGGAGCTGCCTTTCTCTCCTCTCTCTCTCTCATGGAATAAGTATATTTAAAAGGAGAAAAGCTCTTGTATTTTAGACATTTCGAGGATGGTTATGTGGGAGACCCTGTTGGAACTGCCTTTCTCTCTCTCCTCTCTCTCTCTCATGGAATAAGTATATTTAAAAGGAGAAAAGCTCTTGTATTTTAGACATTTCTGTGATGGCAGCACAAACACTGGGTACATGCAGGCCTAGTGCCCAGTTTCCATTGTGCCTGAAGTCTGGACACAGCAGCTGGCCATGTTCTTCCAAGTTCTAGTAGACAATACTGTTCTGCTTGGTTGAATCCTTCTCACTGCCCTTAGAGAACCAATCAAGCTTACCCAAAGCTACACATTTGGCCCTGTCCACAATCCTAGTCATTTCCCTTTCACTCTTTCTAAAGTAGCCATGATTTTCCTTTCTACTCCTCAAGGACTCCTGCTTCTTCCCCTCCCGGAGCACCACACATGCTGCTTGGATCATGGTTCTTGGTAATCCCTTCTTCTTACCCTCTCTGCATTCAGGTTCTGTTCATACTTCAGAACTCGACTCAACATCATTGTGCAGTGAAGTGTCACCTGATCTCCAGGCTAGACCATCTCTCCTAGGCACACACTGTAACATCTCCTCCCCACTCTCTGTGCAGTCAGAGTGATGAAAATGATAAGCTGTGTGATTGTTTAATGTTTAATGCAGGACTCACAACTCTCTGAGTCTGTGTCTGTCTTTTGGCTACTGATTCCCTCCACACCGCCACCAGCACCTCGCTTGCAGTAGAACTAAGTCAACTGAGGGGAATGTATGCACAGTAACTTGGGGATTAGATTCCAGTCTCTGTCCTGTGTATCCTTGGCAAGCTCCTTTCCTGCTCTGGTCTCCTGTCACTTCATCAATAATGTAAGAGCACTAAACAAGTATATGGTGGCTAAGAGGCCTTCTGATGCAAGTGTTCCAAGAATTATATCCTTAGGATTAGCCTACTGAGGCCACACATTGAAAATATTCGGAAACTCTGCTAAGGAATATTTAGAAAATAAGTCAGATATTAGTTTGAGTTAAAATATTACTTAGAAATAAAAGTCATTCTAATGGTTCAACAGAGGGACTGAATAATTATTGCTGCTCTCTCCTCATCGGAACTAAACAACTTATGAATCCTGCATGGCCACCATCTGGAAGAAAGACCAGGAATAGTATTAGTGTCTGCTCAGCCCTCGGGAGCACTCATAAAGATAGGAGGGGAATGGAAGGATGGTCTGAGAGGTAGCAGACCAATCCCCCCACCACTCCCAAGAGTAGAACTGTTGGCCATGGAGGGGTACCTGAGGCCATGGTAAGGTTTTCTATAACTACTTTCACCACTCTCACCCAAGAATCTTCCATGCTGAGGACTCTCCAGGCTAAGACACTGCAGCCCCTACCAGGGCAAGTCACTTCACTACTCTGAGCCTTATCTCTCAAATATAGATCTCAAAACCCACCATACTGAGTTGTGATGATAACTGAATTACTTCCAATACAATACTTCCAAAAATTATGCTATAAAGCATGTCAAAATAAAACCAAAAAATTGGGTCTATTATTGTTATTCTTATGCTATTCCTCTCGTGCCCAACTCTAGAACTGCTGGGGGCTTTCTAATCTTTCACTCTCCTTCTTCTCATATAGCACCTCAATAGTGTAGAGTTCTAACCTCTCTAGCATGGACACATTCTCATATTTCTTTTTTCATTCATAGTTGAAACCACACACGTGCATGCAAAGGAAAGAAAGAGGGAGAGTGAGGGAGAGAGGAGAGAGAGAGAAGCACCTTTCTGTCTCTGCAGAGACAGAAAGTAGATAAGTGATTGTCGGGAACTAGGAGGTGGGGAGAATGAGGAATGACTGCTAATAGGTATGGGTTTCTTTTTGGGGTGATAAAAATGGTTTGGGATTAAACAGAGGTAATGGTTACACAACTCTATGTAAAAGTCAATAGGGCACTGTCATATTATGATTCCCTTCCTCCAGCCCATCAGGATCTTAAGCACACATGTATGTGTACCTGGAACATTTCAGGTCCACTAGGCTGGCGAACCAAACTGCAGTCTGCTACATGGCTCCCAGCACTGCAATCCAGTATGCTACAAACCATGCCACCACACTGGGCCAATATTTTCATAACATTTTAAAGTCACTTCTAATGAATTTTAAAAACATTTGTCACCCAAGAAATTGTAATGCAATATGTACCACACATTTTTGAGCAGGCCCACATGGCATAGTTAACATGGCTAAATGAAGTTGCTCAAATGAAGAATCTCTTCAACGTACCTATGGCCACCAGACTATACAATATATCGAGGCTTTTTCTAGTTCAAGGTCTTAGAATTGCACCACTGTTTTGTTTTTCTTTTAACCTCAGCACCCATGGGATGATATTTTTATTAGCATCTAAAACAGCCCACAACCTTTGAATTTGGACTACTGAATAGACCAAAGAGCAAAACTTACAAATACCACTATTTCAAGTTCTATTTTCTGTAACATGGCATTTTATTAGGTGGACCGTTGACTGAAAGACATCAAACCATTCCAAATATATGTTTTTCAGGCTTTTTGATGTAACAGCATGCAAAGTAATGACAATTCTTGCCAGCGCTGCTTTCTCCTTTAATGGAATGAGTGAAAAAGTGGTGTCATAGGTGCCACGTGAGTTATCAGAAGTAATGAGGGCAACGAAAGTTCTATCTAAACTGCTTCCCAACAAAGTCATTCAGAGCTTTGTTTATTACAAAGACAGTGAACAGGATCCAAAAAATAATTTGTTTTATGAGGGAGCTTGTCATCAAGTGCCTCAAGTGGACCATTGCTAGTTTGCTGAAATCACTTTCATATCCTATTGAGAAAAGGAAGCAGGAGACAAGTAGGCCTTTACTGGGACTGTAAAGTCCCTAGTACAGCAGCTTGTGACAGGAAAGCTCAAAAGGGAAATAAATGGATCTCAGCATCCCTAGAATACAAATATTGCTGTCTCCTTACTTAGCATTGACGTTGTTCTTTCAACACTTGTGTACCAGGTGTCAGGCATAATGGCTGATCCTAGGACATGATGTTGAACAAACAGACAAGTTGCTGCCATCCCAGAGTCTATAGCACTAAGGGATGCTAAATAATGGCAGCCTTATCAGGGAGTTGCAGCTGTGATAAACACCATGCATAAGTGTGAGTGTCTGTGAGCCTGCCCATCAGAGGGACCTGAGCTAATCTAGAGCAGGGGTTTCACTGAGGATATGATCTACAGGCTAAGATGTGAAAGATGTGCAAATATTAACCAGGGCAAATGGAGAAGAAGAGGCAATGAAAGAATCTGCAGTTTTCCAGGTAAAGGAAGGATACATGTGAA